GAACAATCTGCCAAGCCCCAGGAAACTCCCTTAGAAAGCACACACATTCCCTTCTCTATTGTTTGGTTTTGGTACAGTGTGCACATATTGCTTTAGTAATTAAAAAAAAATTTTTTTTAGCATGTACAAAATGTACAGCCCACCTGGTTCCATACACATGGCTCAAGCTTATTCCCAGCCCAGAGCCAAGAAAAGGCTCTGTAGGTCTAGGCAGAAGGAAGGGAAAAAAACCACTCCAAAGAGAATGGCCTCTTGACCACTCTGGGGGAGGAGCCTAGTCAGTTTATGTTCTTGTTTCTTGGGAGATGCCCAAAGACTCAGGTCCTAGTTGAGGTCAGGGCCCCGGACAGGGACAGTCAGCTTTCCTGGTATTGCATCGCCATTGGCTTCCCTTGCTGCCTCACCCCTGGAGCTGCTTCATGCAAAGGAGACCAAACCTCTCCCACCGCCAGGACTCTGGGCCCAGCTGCCACTGTCCGCAGTCATAAGAACACGTCAGAAAGGTGCCCTCTCCTGGCAGCAGGCTCTGCAGAACTACCTGGGACAAAGCTCCACTCAGAGTCTACGGTTGCCCTCTGGTGGCAGCGAGGGGAATCGAACCGCAGGGTCCCCTCCTTAGGGAGGGGGTCTCCCAATTCATGATTGTCCTTTTAGGTCAGTATTTTCAGTGCCAGGTCAGTTAGGAACCCTGTCATCAGCCACAGAGCAAGGGGAAGAAGTCATCTGGGGGGAATTAACTGATGGATCAATAGGGCAAGGCCCCTGGAAAAAACGAATGTCCCTCAAACATACTAAGTGTAAAATACTGAGGCCCAGATTTAACCAAAGCTCAGAATAAAAGAAGAGCTGTTGGGGGTCAAGCAAATACCACCATACTCCATTTTTCACAGTGGAGAACACCATACCCTTTAAATTATGTCACATCCTCAATTGGAGGGACAAGGGTGGACCATGGGACCAGGCACTGCTTGTGGCCATCTGGCCCCAAGGGCAGAGCACCCCGGGATCCACCCAAGGCCCACATGGGAGTGAGTGCCAGCTCGCAGATTCTACGCAGAAGCAGGTCCCACCATCTCCCCCTGCTCCTTAGGCCCCAAGGGAGGTCTTCTAACACCGAGAGGCTCCCTGGGCCCTGAGAGCCCCCCTATGCCAGCAGCACCCCCACCTCCCTGCCTCCCTTCCCTCCCATTAGACTTCTGATGGCTACATTCAGCTCCTTCACTGTCTGCTCAGTGCTTGGATGGAAGAAAGCTCCCTAAGGAGGGGAGCTCATCCTGTTCCTGGCTTCAAACCTGTTGAGTAAGGTGGGATGCCTGGTTCATGGCGGGCTCTCAGAGGCTTCTGTGAAATGAATGGTTGGACTATTCTCTGGGGGTTTTTTTGTTTTTTGTTTTTTGCCTTAGCCCCTACCCCCTACTGGGCTGTAACCTCTCAGAACATAGGGAATAGTTTTATCACCTTCCCAAACACCCCAAAAGCCCAGATGAGTGGGGGGGGGGGGGCGGGGGTGGGTGTGGATTTAGCCAGCAGGAAATGGTTCTGGAGACCCTTAAAAGACTTTTCAGAGCTGCCCTGGAGGAGAAGACCCAATGTCAGGTATCGGGGTCCCAACCCACCCTGAACCTCTGCTTCTTGCAACTTAGGCTGAGACAGTGGTTCTCAACTGGGTGTGATTAGCCCTCCACCACCCAAGACATTTGTCAACATCTGGACACATTTTTGGTTGTCACACTTGGGGCAGGAAGAGCTACTGGCATCTAGTGGGTGGGGAGAGGCCAGGGATGTCGCTAAAGCCTACAATGTACTGGTATCTGGCTCAAAATGTCAACAGGTACTGAGGATGAGGAACTCTGGCTTAAGGTGACTTTTTGTTTGTTTGAACTTCCTAACAACAACAAATATATAAGAAAAATATTGGAACTGGTGATTCACCTAGGAAGATGTAACTCTGACTTGAAGGCTGTTAACGGGTAGTTATGGAAGCTCCTACCATTTCGAGCGCGTGGAAGGGGAGGTCTCGGGCTGCGGGGGCACAGACCCCATTCAGCACCAGGCATGCTGCCTCTACCACCCGTTAGCTCTGCAACTTTGGGCAAGTTACTTCCCCTTCTCCTTTCTTCAGTAAATGGGAACATTATTAGTTCCTCTACGTTCACAGGATTCTGCCTGGCATGCAGCAAGTATTCAACAAGTATTAGCTACTGTTAAGAGGAAAGGGGTAAAGAAATTATTTAAAGTCCAGCCGGGCACACAGTCCACGCTTTAAATATCTGTCACATTCCCGGGCCACCTCTGGGCTGGACGCGGCCACAGGAAATGGACAGAGGGGCTGAGCTGTTGCCACGTGAACCGGGGACTGCTGCTCACATTAAAGCTTTCGAATGTTTGGGCTGTTTGCTTGGAAAGAAAAGATGATTCAGTTTCCATTGCTCTTTATTTGGGAGGCACGGGGTGGGGGCGCGGGGGGTGGAGAAGAGTCAGTATCCTGGCTTTCAGCACTGAAATTTGTTTCAGGAGGAAAAGAGGATGAAGGGTGGGGAGCAGAGTGACAAGAACAAAACAATATCACTTGGGCTTTCCTGGAGGGGTGAGGGTTGGTGAATGTTCTGTCCACCGCCGGCGGCACCACCACCACTCACACGCACGCACACACACAGCCAGAGTGTGCAGAACACGGGCAGGGAGGAACAGCCCCACCAGGAGGGTGGGACCAGCTTCGGGAAGAGGAGCCACCCGCTGAGAATGGTGACTCAGGGTCCCAGAGGGACAGAGACAGCCTTGAGTCAGCGGAGCAAGGATCAGCCCAACCATCACCAGGGCTCTGTCCTTCTCCCACACACTCCCAAACAGGAAACTACATGGGTTTTAAGGCTGCTCAGATCCAAAGCTGGAATCCTAGTGGGTTTCCACTAGGGGCACTAAGGGGCAAGCTACTCAACCTTGTCCAGTCCTTTGTCCGCTCTCAAGCATTCTGGGGTCACCTGACTTCCTTCACAGGGTGCTGTACACTGAGCACATGGTCTAGTCTAGCACACAGCAGGTGCTTGATAACTGCCGGCTCTCTCCCTCCTTCCTTCCTGGCTGTCCTTGACGGTCACCTTAACCTCATCACACCTGCAGCAAGTGTGGTGTGGGAAAGGACAGGAGACAGCCCCGAGGGGACTGCAGTGGAAAGGTGGGGGACAGCAATCCCCTCCCTGTGCTCTGAGCTCTGTACTCAAAGTGCCTTTTCATTCCTGCCTCTCCTTGGACCCTCACACCCCTCACACACACAGGACAAACAGGAACCCCCTGTTTGAGGAAGGAAGCAGAGCTGGAGGGTAGAAAAGGAACCTGCCCAGGGTTGCTGTGTGGTCTCCAATTCCCAGGCCTTGGTGACCTCCAGATGGCCAGGGTGCCCCTGAAATCTTCACACTGGAAGCTGAGGCCATGCCTTCCAAGCTGGAGCACACTCACTAGGCTGGAGCACCTGGGGGCAGCAGCAGGATCTCATTAACCCCAGGGTTTCTGCTGTGGGCAGCAGAGCCTACTGGGCAGGAGCATCAGCTGGCTCCGCCCAGGACACATCACTTACGTCCTCTGGGCCTCCATTTCCCACCTGTAAAATGGGGATGTAACAAGTGCACCTGCCTCAGAGGACTGCTAGGACCATGAAATACACATGAAACAAAGCACTTACCAAGTGCCTTGCACAAATTCAGCATGTGTTTTAAGATAATTAATATCTGTTAAAGGAAAGCATGAAGGGGACAAGACACCGAAATCACCAAGATCCCCTCCTTACAAAATCTACTCCTAGGGTCTGCCATACAGAAGGGCTCCTCCACCCTTTGTGCCTACAGTAGGCCTTGGGAGCGAGGGCCTCTTAAATGCAGAGCAGGCGCCAGTCAACAAATTTTCTCCAAAGGGCAAGGGAGTAAATATTTTAGGATTTGCTCTCTACTCCACTCTGGGAGAGACACAATATTAAACAGTAGGTATGGCCATGCTCCATTAAGATGTTCTTTGCCAAAACAGGCAGAAACAGACCCACACTGCAAAGGTTCGGCTAAGGTGGCATCTCTTCACATCCCCCATCCATCCCTGAGAGCTACGCCTGCCGAAAGCAGGGTGCCCCGGGGGAGCGGGCGGAGCCAGGCAATGGAGGTCTGCAGCTACAGAGAAGTAGCCAGGTGGCAGCTGTCTCGGCAGTAAAAACAGGAACTAGCCCACCGGGCCACTGTATCTCTAAAACTGAAGTTCAGCAACCAAAAAAGGACAAGAGAACACAGACAGTGGAGGTGGAGCAGAGGCAGCATGCTTCCCGGGGTCCCTGTGATGTCCCTCGGTCCCACACCTCCCCAGCCACAGGGTGGTCCGAGGAGCCCAGGGCTCTGGGGCCAGCCCCACCCTTGGGGGTCAAGCTGCCTTGGCTCTCTGGGCCTCCTGGTCCACATGTCCCAAACGGTGACACCACAGCCTCCCTGACCTAGCACTTGAAACAATAAAAGAAAAAAAAAAAGGTGTGAAGTTCAAGTTTGGGCCAACAGCCTACCCAGCTGTGGACTGCCACAAAAAATAACAGAACTGATAACAATGCCTTTGATTTTCTAAGCAGCTGGGATGGATCAGGAGCTCTGGGCAGTATTCTCACATGAGAGCGGGTGACAGCTGCCTCCTGGTTGGGACCTTTCTGCCCTGTTCTTACCATTCAGAAAATAGGGATTTGAGCAACAGCCTCTCATCTAACAGCGAGGGTAGGGTGGAGAGAGAGGAGGGCAGCACAGGCCTCTTCCAGGCCAGGGGTCCAGCTAGGGCAGGACTGGCCCCCTCTGCAGGCGTGCACCTCTGTGTACCCTAGCCCGACAAGATGTGAACACACCAGCCCCCGCCGATCCTCTCAAGAGAGCACACACGCGCACACCCCCAGATCTGAGAGGCCAGACTCCACACGACTGGCGTCAGGAACACCCCGGCCCAGAGGAAAATGTCCAGGTCCCGCTTAGCTGCCAGCAACCTACCCCTTCTTCAGGTTTGTCACATAAGCGCTCTGGAGGGCGGCTTCCAGGAAGTAGGTGAGCTCATAGTCAACTGGGTGAGAGCCTTTCAGATGCCGTGATGTGGTGTTATTTGTGATCTGGGAAGGGGAACACAGAGAGAGCCGCTGTCTCAAAGTTGTGAGTTGGAGGGGCTGGGGTCACAGCCAGCCCCGGTGGAGGTGGCAGTCCCGTTACCATCCCAAGTCTCTGGCTGCCTCAGGGACGCGTGGTGCGATTCTCAGGCTAAATCCAACCTAACTTGCTTTTGTTTAAAATATGTCTAAAACACTCTCTCCTCATCCAAATGCTGGATGCCCACAATAGCCCTACAAAGCTGGTTTTGTCTGTATTTTACAGATGAGGAAACTGAGGCTCAGAAAGTGCCTAAGGTCACAAAGCTGGCATGCACCTAGACCTCAAACTTCAGTCTGGCCAGTTACAGGGTCAGGCTATTTCTACTACTTCCTGGTTCATTCATTCAACAAACACTTGAGTGCCTACCATATACCAGGCACTGTCCCTGTCATATAACCATGGAATGTCAGCACAGTCTAACTGGCTAAGACTCCTGGTTCCAGGGAAGCCTGAGGAGCAACTGTGGTATTAATGAGCTGTCCTTAAGCCTCAGCTCTAAGAGGACCACCCAGCCCCACTGAGATAGGCCTGCCTTTATTAGGCCACCTCCCTGCCCTGATCCAAGACACTAATCAGTAAGCCATCTTGTCTTTTAGAAATTGAAGTAGATTTAAGAGAGGTTCTTAGTTCCTTGGAGCTTGGGGCTGGGTCTGAGGAGGGACATGGCACCATTTCTGAGAATGCACAGGGTCCTGTGGCCTGCCCTTCCCTGACCCAAGATAGCTAGCTCCCGGGGCCCATTTGTCTGCCCAATGCCACAGGACACTGATTCCAGCCCTACCCACCATTACAGCTCATCACCGTAAAAGTCGAAAGCCTGGGCTTCTGGATGAATGGGAGACCACCTTTTTCATGAAAGTTTTCTCCAAATCCACATGCATTTCCAATGTGAAGAGCTCCTAAAACACTGTTGTCTAGCAGTGATCCATGTGACCTCAGCAGAGGTCAACTCAGCCATGCCAGTCTCCAAGTGGACTTCCGCCAGGGAATGCACTCGAGTCCTGTTTTTGCTGAGTCCCCCAATAACTTTTCCTTTCCTCCTGAAACCCAATCAAGTAAAAGGACTCTAGGGTAGTGACACCCAACAGGGAGGCGATTTTGCCTTCCAGGGACATTTGGTATATCTGGAGACATCTTCAGCTGCCACAACTTGTATTTTATAATACACAAGGTTGCCCCACACAGCAAAGAATGATCTGGCCCTGATGTCAATAGTGCTGAGGGTTGAGAAATCCCACTCTGGGGGAATCGGCTTGGCCTGGACAACTCCTCCTACAAGGCCTGTCACAAAACAGGTGCTGGGTTGACATTTTGGCACTTGCCAAAGTAGGTAAGGTCAAATGTCTCTGGGCTCTGACTCTCAGCTCATAACCACCTCCTTCAGGATGCCAACCCAGGTCTACCCTGCCATATAGCACCCGCCTTCCAGCATCTACGAACCATCTACTGAACAGCATGCCTAGGCATCACCCCCGAATTCTCCCCTGCAAGTAACCGGAGCCACACTCCCAGGGTTCCAGTCCTGCCAATGCCACTTAGTAACTGTCTGAACTCTGGGAAGTCATTTAACTCCTCCCTAAGCCAGGGTTTCTCGCTTGGGAAATAGGAACAACAGGGCCTATCCCAGCCAGTGGGTGTGAGGGTTAAATTCAAGAATGACTTTAAAGTACTCAGGAGTACTGCCTGACACAAGAGCAGTATCTTTGTTAAATATAGCTGTCTGCCGTCCTCCCATTAAACCAAGAGCCCCCCAGAAGGGAAGACCCGGGGTAACATCTGCTAACGCCAGAACCACTGTCCTGCCAACAGTTTGACAGCCCCCTTCCCACCCCCCCACCCATCCCCCTGCCAGGGGGAGCTGGGAGAAGAGGATGCCCGAGGACTTCCAGGCCCCGACTTGCCGGCACTGCTGGCCTCTGAAAGGCTGGGACAAAGGGCCCCAAGGCCTCCCCTCCCCGAGGGGATCTAGTAGGGAGCTTCCTGGCCACCTGAGGAGAGGGAAGGATGCCTAAGTGCAAGGACCAGCCAACACCCCTTCCAAAGGGACCACGGTGAGCAAATGGTTGTATCTCTCTAAACCTCATCTGTTAGGGATAAGTACAACGTCTACCTCATACAGTTGCTGTGAGGATTACACAAGTTTACAGGTACAGATATAGGGCCATCACATTTGGTCGTCCGAGCTGAGCTCATCCAGGAGGCTCTGGGCTCCCACAAATGCTATGGACTCATTTAGTTATTAAACAAATAAATAGAAGAGTGTGGAGGTGAAGGGTCTCACTCTGACAGAAGAGGTATACTGTGATAAGCCTTCCAACCAATGAGGCGGAGTGGCGTCGCAGGGGTGGAGGGTACCTTATCCTAGTACACACAAGGATCACCCACAGGCTTAGTGGGGGGCTTGGCATGACAGGCGCTCAATAGAGGCAGCTATAAGCAGAGTGCTCACCTTCTCCAACTCCTGCAGGAACACCTGCGCAATCCAGGAGGCCCTCTCGAAGCAGGTGATCACTTCCTCCTCCCTCTCAGTCAGGCGGTGGCGGGAAGCAATGGAGTTGGGCAGGCGTTCTAGGGAGAGGCCTGCGGGAGGAAGACAGCACCTTAGACGTGCCCTGCCCTGGCCCCCCAACCCCAGGCCCTGCCCATAGACCCAGGGAGACCTAGGCTCAGGAGCAGCCAGTGAGGGGCAAGGTCCACAGTGGCAGGGAAGGAGGAGGCTAAAGCAGTGGTGGTGGTATTGGCAGCGGCTGGGGTCAAGCTGCGGGCTGACAGCGGGGACACCCAAGCTCCACACGGGGAACTGCACCGTGGCACCTTTCCTGCCTACCCTTCCAGGCCAGCTCCCGCAGGAACCATTCCTGACCCTCCCTCCAAGTTGCAGGAGTGCCCCCAGGCACTGGTTATTTATCTACACTGGTTATTTATGCCCAGCTCTTCTCTCCCGGCTTTAGCCGAAAGCTCCATGTGGGCAAAATGTGAGCTTTTCTGCACCACTGCAGTCCCTCATATCTGCACACAGCAGGCACCCTTCCACGGAACCAGTTTCTACCTCACTAAGTTATTTGTGCATAGGTCAGTCTGCCTGAAGTGGACAGCAGCTGCCTCTGCCCTCCAGGCAGCCACTGCCTGTTCTCTGGCCCCAGAGCCTCGCTTTCCCCGTGAACACCCCTCCTGCAGCTGCAGAGCATGAGGCCCCCACTCCATCTCCCGGGCAGACCCATCATCAGGGCCACAGCAACTGGCTAAAGATGAGCCCTGGAACTTTTAACTTTTTCCAATGGGGCTGGGAAGCTGGGAGGAAGTCAGCCTGAAATGCTAGGGAAAGCCTGCCTGAAAATGAAGCTACACAAGGTGAATACAGTCAACACGATCAAGCTGTACATCTGCAAACGCTTGCAATGGTACGTTTTGTTATGGCTTTTTTTTTTTTTTTTGAAACCACAATTACATTTTTTTTTTAATTTTTTTAATGTTTTTTTTAATTTATTTTTGAGACAGAGAAGAGGACAAGGCATGAGCAGAGGGGGGGGAGGTCTGAGAGAGAACCGAGAATCTGAAACAGGCTCAACAGCTCTGAGGCGGTCACACCAACCAGCCGCAGCAGAAACTTGAACTCAGCGGAATGAGATGCGTGACCTGAGGAAGAGTGGGACGGCTTAACCGACTGAGCCACCCAGGCGCCCCCATTTTTTTTAATCAAATCAAATCATGGCTCTAAAGCAAAAACAAACAAAACAAAAAAACCCAAAACGAAACCAAAATGAACCCCCAAAAAGAAGATTAAAATGAGCCAGAGACACTATTAGCTTGATGTGCTGTTAAGCCATAAAGGAAAACAACTATATTTGCATTCGTTTTGGGTTTTTTTAAGAAAAGAAGAAGACTGGGGGCACCTGGGTAGGCATGACGCGAGCCTAAGCGTCCGACTTCAGCCAGAGTCAGCAGATCTTCGGTCGTGGAGTTGAGCCGATCAGGCTCTGGCTGATGGCTCAGGAGCCTGGAGCTTGTTCGATTCTGTGTCTCCTCTCTCTCTGCCCTCCCGTTCATGCTCTCTCTGTCCCAAAAATAAATAAACGTTGAAAAAAAAAATTTAAAAAAAAAAAAAAAAGAAAAGAAGAAGACTGAATAAACTCTTAGTAATGAGGAGAAAAATCTACAGGGTAAAGATGAGTCAAGATAGAAGAGGGCAGATTCCTAATGACACCGTTTGAGTGCCCTGCCTGAATCTCTACCCCCTGAAACTTCCCAGTATATGAGCCCATAATACCCCCACCCTTTATAGAGAGAAGTCAGCTTAAAGTGTGTTTCGGTCACATGGGACTAACACACAGACCTGACTAGAGAGTACTGTCCTGGACTGTTGCTTCCTAATGGGCAGAATCCAGTCGCTCCCACCTTTGTGTCCCACACGGTACTTTACATGCAACAGGTGCTCAGGATGAACTTCCTGGAGGAGCTGTAGGAATAGAACCCCCAACTCTCTCCTGCCCTCTGCCCTACCCTCCAGCTGATGACCATGCCCTCAACACTTCCCCATCCTTCCTCTTCCTCCCTCATTTTAGGCTTGACTTTTTTTTTTTTTTTTTAAGTTTATTTATTCATTTTGAGAGAGAGAGAATCCCAAACAGGCTCTGCACCATCAGCATGGAGACTGATTCAGGGCTTGATCTCACAAATTATGAGATCATGAACTGACCTGAAGCCAAGAGTCAGACGCTTAACCGACTGAGCCACCCAGGTGCCCCTGTGCTTTACCTCTTGAGGGGATGACCATATCAGCCTCCTAACTGGCCTCCCTGCCTCATGTCTTGTTCTATTCCACCCTGCACACTGTTCCCAGGGTGATCCTTCTAGAACTCCACCACTTCAACCCTCCAGGGATCCCCAGGGCTACAAGGTGTGGTCCAAACTCCTGGCACTCCATAACAGGGCCTCTAGGATTCCATCCCTGTCGCCTGCCCAGCCTTGGCTCTCACCATATGCCACAGGCTGAATGTTTGTGTCCTCCACCCCCCAAGTCATATGTTGAAAACCTAGTGCCCAAGGTGATTGTATTAGGAGGCAGGGGTCTTTGGGAGGTGATGAATGGGGTTAACAGCCTTATAAAAGAGACCCCAGAGATCCACCTCACCCCTTCTGCCACATGATCACACAGCAAGAAGTCAGCAGCCTGCAACCTGGAAGAGGGTCCTCACCATAATCTGACCATGCTGGTGCCCTAATCTCAGACTTCCAGCCTGCAGAGTCATGAGAAATAAATGTCTGTCGTGTTGATGCCACCCAGTCTGTACTTTGTTACAGTAGCCCGAGCTACTGTAAGACACCACAACTGCTGCATCCACACCCAACCTCCTGTTTCCAATGCTGACCTTGCTCAAGCCATTCCTCCTGCCTGGGATGCATACCCCTGCTGAATCTCCCAAGTCTACCCAAAATTACCACTCACCTTCCGCCCTGCTGAGGGCTGCCCCCTCCTAATACACCCCGGTATAACCAACTGATCCCTCCTGGGGCCCCAGTCTATGCTTTACATACTCCTGCCCCACCATTTCTTATATTTATTTACTCACATGCATACCCAGCCAGACTGTAAACTTTGAAAGGCATCAACCTTATCACGTTTGCCTTTCTACAAACTGGCACATAGTAGGCATTTAACAAGCCCTGGCCCGCCAGCTGAAGAAATGGCAAGCCTGATCATGTCTGACAAAGTACAAAGTGCCCTGCAAATACAAGGTAAGGAATTACTGTTTTTCTTGGCTAGATCCCAACTCATATGGATTTAGTGACCTTGCCCTCTGCCAGGCTGGGGCGTGAACAGGTCCAAAGGTCGGGGTGACTCGGCCGGGGAGAAGGCAGGCACAGAACATGGAGGCCCTTGCTCAACACAAATACTCAGTTACCGGGGTCACCGAGGGTCAACGTGCCTCCTGCCAAATGACTCATGACCAGGAGGGGAAGAGAGCACTAAACGGGAGAGAGGAAGAGTGGGAGTCCTGGAGGAGACGCAGAAAGCAGGCAGAAGGCAGGTGCCACCGCTCACTGCTGGTGCCGGCCCTGCTTCCTCCTTCCCAGCTACGTACCCTGTCCACCCTGCAGGAAGGTGGTTCAGAGGCCTGGCCTGGGAGACCAGCTGCAGATGGCAGCAGGGTGTAGCCACTCCAGAAGCCCTAGAGCGGATCTGTCTCGACATGGCCGCTCTGCGGCTCCCCTGAGACACATGCTGCTGGCTGGGTTCCTTCCTGTCCCACAGCTGGGCCCAGACCTGGGATGGATAATGCCAGCCGCTTGGCCTGCTCGGGCTGCCAGTCCCAAGCCTCCACTGGGCTGACCACTACAAAGCGGTGAAATTAGTAACATGTGTCTGTGGGGCCTCTGCTGTCCATTGCTTCATGTGTTCCCTCCACTCCCAGTAGAGGCCTCTCTGCCACGCTTCTCTGGGAATTCTAAGTCCTAGCCTCCTGGAAAACTCACAGCAAAACCACCTCCTCCCGGAGGCCGTCTTAGGCCTCCTGACCTCAGAACCAGTGGAACATTTTACCTGCATCTCTTTTGTGTATGTCTTTTTCCCACCCTGTAACCAGCCTCTCTGCCCGTGCTCTAGGCAGCCAGTGAGAGCATGGCCCGGTGTCTGGTGAGTGGATGGACACAGAGCTGCCTGCACACATTCACTTGCATGCTTTCTCCTGCTCTGTTTACAAAATGCTTCTTGCTGAATTCATAACCAAACTGGCATATATTTATACAATGGAACACCACTCAGACCAACAAAAGGACAGACTCTTGATACATGTACAACCTGAATGAATCTCCAAGAAATTGGGTTGTGCAGCAGAAGCCAGATACCAAACAAGTACAATGCTATAGGATTTCAGTTACATGACATTCAAAAAAAAGGCAAAATTATAATCTGTATTAATAGAAACTAACCAGTTATTGGGAGTGGAGAGAGAACCAACTGGAAAAGGGCCTGCAGGAAACTTCTAGGGTAATGGCAATGTTGTCGTTACTGTGGTGTTGGTTATGTGGGTATTTACACTTGTCCAACTCACCAAATCATACACTTAAGATTGGTACACCGCACTGTATAAACATTTATAAAAAATAATGCATATAATGCCTTTTTCAAAGGAAGCAATTGTGACAGCAGAGAACTAAAAGATGGAGGTAGAAGAGCTATGGTCACTAAGGTGGTCCTCTGTGAAATAATTTCCAATATACATAAGACCAAAAAGCTTCCTGGAGCTTGGCAATGGCTTCTCCAAATGAGGGTGATAGTCCAGTCACCCAGTTCTGCCCATAAAAAGGGGCTTCTTGACCTTACCTTTTTTTTTTTTTAAGTTTCTTTATTTATTTTGAGAGAGAGAGAGAGAGAGAGAGAGAGAGCAGAAGCAGGGGAGGCAGAGAGAGAGAGAGAGAGAGAGAGAGAGAGAATCCCACGTTGACTCCACACTCAGTGCGGAGACCAATGTGGGGCTCCATCTCATGAACCCTGAGATCATGACCTGAGCTGAAGTCAAGAATTAGATGTTTAACCAACTGAGCCGCCCAGGCGCCCTGGGGCTTCTTTATATTTGCTC